TTTCACATGAAAGTTCTCTTTTTCTGGCCATTTTGAGCATTTAATCGACCCCACAAATGTGATGCTCCAGATACTCAACCTGCTCAAAGGAAGGTCAGTTTTATAGTTTCTCTAACCAGCTAAACTGTTTTCAGCTGTGCTAACATGATTGCACAAGGGTTTTTCTAATCATCCATTAGCCTTCTCATGCAATGAGCAAACACATTGTACCATTAGAACACTGGAGTGATAGTTGCTGGAAATGGGCCTCTATAGACCAATGTAGATTTTGCACCAAAAACAGACATTTGCAGCTAGAATAGTCATTTACCACATTAGCAATGTATAAAGTGTATTTCTGATTAGTTTAAAGTTATTTTCATTGAAAAAAACAGTGCTTTTCTTTCAAAAATAAGGACATTTCTAAGTGACCCCAAACTTTTGAACAGTAGTGTATATACTGTGATACGCATCGTATCACGATGCGGCGGCAACGATATGACATTGTTGCATGTCATGTCATGTCTCACTGTCAGAAAGGTCAGCTGAGTGTCCAGGACGAGGAGATCCGGTCCCTGAAGTCCAGTCTGCAGGAAGAGCAGAGACGGTACACACAGCTGCAGCAGGACACGCAGGAACACACCAACCAGCTGCACACGCACGTCCAGCAGCTGCAGCTGCAGCAGCAGAAGTTCCAGAGAGACAACCAGAGACTGCAGGTGAGACACGACAACACGCACGCTCACAGATTTAAGGTCACAGCTTGACCGGTGAGGTCACATGACTGACTGTTTCTGACTGTTTCAGAGTGAGCTGCAGGAGTGTCACAGCACGCTTAAAGTCCAGGAGGCGGAGCTTCAGAGAGCCAATAACACGGCCAACAATGCAGAACATCGGCTGACTAAGCTGTCGCTCAAGGTGAGGAACTGTGTGGTTGTAGATCAGGAGAACCCTCTTTTATAAAAATATATGTACAGTTGGATATATATGTGTGTATATGTATGTGTGTGTATATGTATGTGTGTATGTGTGTATATGTGTATATATGTATGTGTGTATATACTGTATGTATATGCGTAAATATGTATATTTGTGTATGTGTGTGTATATGTATGTGTGTGTATATATGTATATGTGTATGTATGTTTATATGTGTATATGTAGATATGAGTATATGTATATATGTGTATATGCGTATATATGTACATGTGTATATATGCATATATATACATTTACACATTTGGGAAATTCTTGAGCAGGCCGATCTTACTGGGCCGATATTATCGGACATCCCTACACAGATGTTACGTTAATGTGCTGGTGATGGAGGAATAGAGAAAATGTCTGATTGTTGTTGTTGTTGTTTCCATAACAGCTGAGCAACGTTGAGCAGCTGGAGCAGCAGGTCATCCTGTTGAACCAGCAGCTGGTCGTACTCAGAGAAACCAACCGAGCTCTGACGGAGCAGCTGAAGGGAGGAGAGGGCAAACACTGGACTGTGAGCAGACGTCCACACAGTAACACCAAAAAAAAAACCACACGTTCAGCATGGTTTTTAACATGGGCTGCAGCAAAACACTACCACCTAGTGGTTGGTTTGGAGAGTGAAGTGAAGTTGAAAAAGGCCTTTTGCAAAGTGACTTTGGTCTCATATATGACTCAACAAAATGCAGATTTTTTTTAATTGCGGGCCAAAAACTGACCCAGTAGGTGGTTCAATCCGGCCCGCTTGATAAAAAAAATGAACCCCTCCATTTGTACAGCGTGATAAACGTGTTCCTCGTGTATGTTTTTCAGGAGGCGTCCATGCTGCAGTGCAGCGTGGGTAAAGAGCACCAGCGTCTGAAGGAGGGAGAGGTTCAACAGCGACAGAAGCTGGAGGCGGCCAGTTACAGGATCTCAGACCTGGAGAGCCAGCTGACAAAGAAAGACCAGCTGATTCTGGATCAGAAGAAACTTTTGGAGGACACCAAAGGCCAGAGCAGGTCAGTGTCCTGCCGCAGTGGTCATGAACGGAACTGCGACCAAAAGAAGGAAAATACATCTTTGATATTGTGTTCGGTGTTTTCAGAGCGGAGCTGTCGGCCTGTGAGAGTCGCTGTGTGGCTCTGAAAAGAATCACCCAGGGTCTGCAGACGGAGATGCTCCAGCTCTACAGCCAGGTTCACCTGGACACGCGCAGCCAACCGCGGGATGTCGTCGGCAGGTAGATGGGGTTTATAGGAATCATTATTATTTATTCATATTTAATGAAATATAATTTTACAAAAAAAATATCCTGAACATGAAGAGTATTTTTTGTATTTTTCTTATTTCCAAAAATTACCAAGCGGGCCGGATTCATCAACCTTGTGTCGCGGTTTTGGCCTGCGGGCCGTATGTTTGAGACCCCTGACTTAAATGAATGTGATAAATATATATATAGGAGGTCTGTCCGCCCTGGGGTTCATGACGTTTTTGGTCAATTTAACAATTTTTTTTAATTTATCTTTTCGGCAAATTCAAGTACTTCTGTAGGTAAAGTAACTGTCTGCGCCAGAAGTACTTGAAGTACTTGAACTTGAAGCGGCGTCAGACAAACTCAGTCGCAGTTGGTTTGCGGTTCGATGTGTGAGTTTTTTTTTTTCTTTCTCCCTCAGGTCAGACAGCAGTGCCATGGCCGTACCTGTTACACGGGATGAGCTGAAGCCCCGCCCCTCCTCCAGCTCCGTCAGCATCATAAACGGAGCGGTGGAGTCTCTCTCCACCTCCCCTCTTCAACTACACTCCTGCTCGTCCTCCCCTCTCTCTCTGTCCCCCATCGACTCCCCACTGACCGTCGGCTCGTTCCTGGAGAAACAAACCAGGAGGCAGTTCCGGCCGACCAATCACAGCTCGGACGAAGAAAACGAGGACGAGCCGTTGGAGAAAATGGAGGAGGAAGAGGAGAGGGAGAACGAGGAGGAGGAGGAGGATGAAGAGGACAATAATGTGGAAGACCAGCTAGGGAGTCCTCCTCTGGGTCAGGAGGCAGAAGAGGACTTCCTGCTCCTCAAAAGTCCTCAGGTGGCTCCTCCTCCTGGTCAGGCCGCCACTCCCAGCCGCCCCCTCTATAAACCCCCGGGTCGTCTGTCGGGACATGCCCCCCCCACAGACCTGACCCTGGCTGTCCGACAGAGGAGACAGGAGCTGAGCATCATGGACTACAACGAGACGCTCCCAGAGTTCTGACCGCAGACTGCTACCTGCCCGGTGTCCAGCAGGTGTCAGTCTGCGCCTGACGACACCTGAATGAAGTAACTTTGAACACAACAAACTGTTTCCTGTCATTTTGGGGGTTCGCTGGTGACACAAAAATTTTAAGTGAATTAATTCTGAGGTTCGCCCGAAAAGCTAATCAGCCAATAAGCTTCAAATCCGTCTAAGGTTAATGAAAAAAAAAAAAGTTTCTAGCTACGATGGGGACAAATCCACCGCAGGGTTAATAGGAAATCGACAGAAAGAGGAAAAAAAAAGCGAAAGGTCCCCAGTTAGCTCACTAGAAATAGCATTGTGTGCTAAAAGTTAGCTGCTGAGAAAGAAAAAGTTTCCTCTTGAATGCCTGGGCTTTCTTCTTCCCAGCATGCACTGCTTCTTCTGCTCAAATTGAAGAACGCAATTATACCAAATATAAAATGAAAAGTTTGTCAGTCGTTACGAGAAATACTTGGATGTTGTCGGATGCTAACATTTAGCTGAATGTTCTTCAACTGGAAACACACGGAGCTCCACTGGTGCCAAAAAAAAAATCTGTGAAATCCTGTCGATGGAGTCCAAATATTCCCCGTGCCGAATATTTCTCACTCGATGCATTAGAAGCATCGGAACACAAGTGTTAACAGAACGTCGGGTTAAAGGAACTGAACGGACTGTCGGTGCGAGAGTGGGCGTCTCTGTGTGGGCTGATGACATCATCGTTACGTCAACCAAGTCATTGGTCAGGCTGGTGGGAACTAAAGCTGCTAGAGGTCATGACCTTTGGGGGTTGATGCAATAGAGATTTCTTTCAAATCCTTCAATGATTTTTTTTTTACATGTATGACTCTGGGGAAAAAAGGGAAATCCTATTTGGTGATTTTGGTTAATTTCAAAATTAGTCTCAAGATCTCACTCCTCTTTCTCAAAAAAGAAGGTAGATTTTCCCTCTGAAAGTTTTCATGTCCAACGATCTTCATTTGACCAGCGTCTGGTTCTGGCTTTAATGGCTGATGAATGTAAAGTGACGTGAATGTTCCTGTACTCAGACCACGTGTCCTCAGGTTCAAAGCTTAGGAAACCTAGGTCTTATTTCAGGTCAACCAGCTGTTCGGTCACACAACTGTGATTCTGTATGTAAGGTGATAACCAAAAATATCAACTCCTGACGTCAGTGTGTGGGTAAAGATGTCGGCATTTACACCCCTGGGGCTAATGGTGCACACAGTAACTGTCCTCTGTTTTTGATGCAAAAGTTGAGACATTCAACATTGAGAGAATTGTCATTCAAATGCCCTTCGTGGAATCCACCGAGTCGCATTTCAAAAGATTGACTGTAATACACAACTTCACCACCAGATGCCGCCAAACTCCTACACACTGGCATTTGAATCAAAAGCAATTTATTTTGCAGCCCTCCCTCCCCCCAAGATGTGATGACAGCTGACGTCAGAGTCACGGATGAACCGGAGGATTTTACTTTCTTGTTTTGAGGGCTATGTTTTTAAAAAAAAACACACAAAAACTACAACGAAATCCTTCCCTTGTCTGTTTTCACTTGCGCAATACTGTGAACACTGCCAATAAAGATTTTATTCAAATCAAACCTCGACACTGAGTCTGTTTAAGTTTGAATTTTATAGAGCCACTAAATGGATATGGGGAAATACATGAACGTTTATTTATTTGTTTTGTTTGTTTTTTAAATTTTTTTTTTTTTTTTTTTTAAAGTCTCTTTTGTGACTATTTTAATATGCTTTATTCTACGGTGACGGTTCTGAGTAGAATATTAGAATAATAAAAGTATACATTTTTATATATAATATATAAAGGTTATATAAGTGTAAGGTATATATTTTTGAATAACCCATCATCCGTCTGAAATTCAAATTTTAAGAAATTAAATTCATTTTATGTCGGTTTTGTTAGTGAGAAATTCCACTTCCGGTCAGACCTGGGTCGTAGACTAGGAATCAAACCAACATCACTAGGTTCATTTTTCTCTCTTTTTATCAAACCCAAAAACACGACTTTGTTTTAGATTAGCCTCACCTGTCTTAATCACAGCCTTCCAGTAGGTGTCGTCATTATACAGTGCATATTATATTCGAAACGGACTTAAATAAAAATAAAGCCGAACCATCGAGACCTGTGTTCGAGTCTTTGACTCGTTGTTTCCAAACGAACCGACCAATTATTGGATGGTATAAGAGACACATTCGTAACTAATAAACGATTAAAAGTAAAGTTAAACTCCCGTCCCGTGTCGCGCTTTAATGACGCACTTCCTTGACGACCAGCGCACCCCATAGCAACCGACCGGGAAACAGTGAGTAAGTCGTGTTTGTTTGATGATACTGTCGAAAATATTGTGAATTTTACACTGATATAAATTTCTCAAAGCTAAAGGCGTTTAGCTGCTACGCTAGCTTATCAGCTACATTCCAAAATTATACGCGGGATATATATATAAATTATTAGAATTAACATCAGCTATTTGAACGAAATAATTCCATTACAACCAATTAATTCACTTTCTTTAGAAGTCGAGCTAGTAAAACAAAAATTTACCGTAAAAACGAAGCTTTAAATTGACCCGAAGTTTTGTTAAAGTGTCATTTTTTCCCGTTTCGTCAAATTGAATTAATCACGAAAAATTTTCAGACATATTTGGGGAAAAAAACCCAGTAATTTTGTGGTCGCGTTTACTTCTTTTTTTTTAACGTTATGACAAAATCCCTGTTAGAGAGATTGTGTGATGTGATGTTGTCAGGAACCAGAGGCTCAGTGGCGCCGTGGAACTGTCAGCCTGCCTTCCATTCATCTGATGGATGAGACAGTGAAGCCTCTGAGGATTCCTCCGCAGATGTCAGTTTACGCAGACAAACATGGCGTCTTTCAACTCGTGCAGGTAAAAAAAAAAAAATTAAAATAAATATTGGGTGCAGACGTGTAGAAAGTGGAAGAATGGCGACATCTGTGTGTGTGTTTCAGAGCATGGTGTCCAGTCTGATTGTCGACCAGCCTGGAGACCCGGTCCTCCACCTGATCAGTTTTCTGCAGAGGAGTAATCAGAGCAGTAAGTCATGGACAGCCACTAGATGGAGCTGTGACTCCACACACAGTCCGTCAATTATTGGGTCACAAAGTGGGGCCACGTTTTCTCAACGTTTAAGCCGTGTTTTCGCCAGCGGGCGCCAGAGCAATTATGGGAAGTGAAAACAAGCAAAGCAAAAAGAAAGGCAGGTGCGAAACTCTTAACATACATGGGGAAGGAATGGGGTAGATTTGCGCCACCTACAGTAAGAGAGGGGAATGACAACAACTCCAGAAAGACACTAAGTTTGCAGTAGGTATGAGGACATTTGATCGTCCTTCTCTGTGGTTCTCAGTTCCCAGGGTCATGCTGCTCGGCGCCCCGGCGGTTGGGAAACACACTGTGGTGAGTTTTACCTCTGACAGTTTAAAATGTTGTCATTGTTTATTTAGCTAATTATCATTAGCGTCGCTCTTAGCGCTAAATGTCTCTGTTGAATCATGGAGAACAAACATGTGACTCGTGACTTTTCTGTTCTCCCCTGCTGACACTTTGACCTCTAGGCCAAAAAACTGAGCACGGAACTGAATGCCGTTCATGTGACCGTCGACACTCTGATACAGGACCAATCAGAGCTGGGGGAACGTGCTCGTCAGTACAGACTCAGACAGCAGGTAATACCAGGAATAAATGGCAAACACAATAAATATATATATACACTCTCTCTCTCTATATATATATATATATCATATATATTAATATATATTAATATATACTGTATATTTGTCATGTTTGTTTGGTCAGGAGCTTCCCGTCGACCTCCTGGTTCAACTGGTCCAGCAGAAACTGAAGGAGGTCGACTGCTACAACAAGGTGAGTTTTCTTAGAGTCAAGACTCGAGGGGATTTTTTTTGCAGTTAGCTTCTTTTGCGATCAGACGCGAGTCGACTTCACCGTTCTAGGAATGAAGACACTTCTCGAAAATTCTATGATGTGTTTGTTGTGTAACAGCTGTTGATAAAATGGCCGTCCCGCCTCTTAAATGATTTATCCAATCACCATGCAGAAGCCAAGTGCCCCCTCTTTGCTCCTAGGCCTACAATGAAGGTCAAGTGTAAAAAATAAATAAAATTGTACTATATTGATCCCATATTTGGGAAGGTATTGTGTTAGCACCAGATATGTTGTTAACAGGCAACCTAGCGAGCAGTGGTTCTACTGGGTATTGAACCCAGGACTCTTTGTTCTTTGCATCTGCGGCAGGCATGCTAACCACTACACTAAGGGACCGTGTCGTAGAAGTGACATTTTTTTTGTCCAATCAGCCATCACAGTGGACAACCCTATCCAGTGCTGCCCTATTCAAGACCATGAAGCTGAGCTTCAACAGGGTTTAATATGCACCACTACTATAGGAACACATGGGGGCGGAGACTCCCACCAGACGAGCTATAATTAATGGCTGATTGATTGATGCAATTATATTATTAAATGAAATGAAATGTCATCAGACCTGGGCCATGAAGTTTTTGGAACTATGGCATCACCTAGTGGTGTGAATGTAAAAAAACATAAGATGTTGTTGAAAAGACGATGTCGCGTCAACGACGATATAGTTGAAATCTCTTGTTTTTCACTCTCGTCTCCCTCTTTCGTGACCTCCCGCTGACACGATAATAATTAGCGCTCTGGTCGGTGCCGTGTTAGACTACGATTCCCCCAAAGGCGGGGACGGGCGTGGGCCCATTTCCCCGGAGAGCACCTGATCAAACCGCAGTGTTGCTGTCACAGCAGACGTGTTATTCTCAGTTGTGCTCATACTCTCTGCTGCTCCTCATTAGCATCACTTGCCGTTTACCTGTCGCCGTTGATCAGGACCAAAGGAGGCGCTCTCTGATCACTCCGAGTGAATGAAAGCCGGAGACGCCGCCGCCACAAACAAAAACGAACCGAGGCTCGCGGCTGCCGTCGGGTGACTGACGTGTCAGCAACCTCTGCTCACGTGTCTGCTCTGCCGCTGGATCACAGAAGAATTTAAAGTAAATCTGCTGAGTCTGTCATAGGTTTTTCTATTTTTTAAATTTTTTTCAGTTTTTCTCAAACACTTAGTTCCATGAACCTTTTAAAACGTAGTAAATGTGTTTTGTTTCCTTCAGCTGCCTCTATTTTCGTATTTGTTTCCAAATTTTTGTGACGCTGTAAATCAACAAGTCAGTGAAACAACAGCAGATATAATAATTCCCTGATTTGAATTATGAAACAAAAACATTAGGGATTTACGATAATATCGCCGACTGATATTATCGGCCCGATTTTAGCATAATTTCGTAATATCTGTAAAAGTCATTATCATTTTTTTTCTCTGATAATGAAAACCCAATAACGCAATGCCAAATGATGTCTGACCTATAAATAGCTTTTGGGGAAAACGGCTGCATATGAAAGTGAAAGTCACTAGATGGCAGCATTGCAGCTCACTTAATTAATCTATTTTAATAATCAGGGGATTGTATGCAGAATGTTGGTGCCAACAACTCATACAGTGGTTTTTACAGATAAATAAAGAAATATTACTAGGCCTATATCGGTATCGGTTGATATCGGAATCGGAAAAAGTGTTTGGGCAATATCGGCATATCGGATATCGGCAATAAGTTAATATCCTTAAAAAACATCTACCTGCTGTTAGCATGCCACAAACAGCATGCCTCTGCATTTTAACCCATCACCACAGTCAGCAGGGGACAGGCTTGAACCTGTAACCTTCCGAACATTTACAACTAAGCCACCACTGCCCAAATCTGCACCGACCATGTGATCGTTACGTTTAAAAGATATATTGTTTGACGACTTGTGAAAAACAAAACATTTCTTTTATGAACGGAAGTGTGACCTGTCGATGATGTCATCATGGGTTCAACGTCCCACGATGACATCATCCATTTATATCTCCGCTCTGTGTTCTCGTCCCGGCACTTATACACTAGTCTCTGTCAGATCTGAAGATCCTACGGCGTCGCTGCTGTGAGCACCGCGGTCTGTTCCTACGGCCGAGTGCGCCTGTGATCTGTCTACCTGTCAGAGATGGCGCTGTGTTTGTGATGCTTCAGTCGTAAACAGTGTTGAACTTTAGTCGTCGCCTCTAAACTCTACAAATGCTGCTACTTTTAGCCTACAGCCTGCAGTGATTAGCTTCAGTGTTTAGTCTCTCACATCTCGGTGTGTGTGTGTGTGTGTGTGTGGAGCAGGTACTTTGATCAGCTAATGGCTGTTTGTGGCCCCGGGGTAAACCTGTCTCACACACACGTAACAACACCTCTGATTTGGTATCTGATGTCTTCATCTTCGTCTGCGTGGCGGTGTAAAAAGACAGGCAGAGGATGATTGACAGCCTCCATTTGAACCCAGCCCTTTCCTGTCACATGAATTTCTGCTCCTGTCCCCGTCTCTGTCTCCTCCTGTCTCTGTGTCTTTCACCGTGAACCTTCACTGGACCTTCAGCTGACGAAGCATGTTCTACATCAAACCACTTCATTGGGTACATTCGTTCTACCTCACCCGGTAGCCCCCCCCGATGGTGGTAAAAACCAGGCATCAGAGCCAAGAAGGACGGAGATTAGGTTTATCTTCAGGATTAACACAGAAAAATCCAAATCCGATCATCTCCACAAAAACATTTTAAAAAAAGAATATATATTTGTTCTTGCTTTATTTATAATATTTTTTTTTTCATATTCTAATTTACATATTTATTCTTTGTTCGTATTCTTCTAGTCCTCTAGGGAAAAGGAAAGAGTCTGACAACTCTGGTACAAAAATAATATATAAATATATATAAATAATGTATATATATTTATATTTTTTTTTTGTATTTTTTGTTCTTCAGAAACAGCTTTGTAGTTATGGAAACATCAGGTTCTTCTTCTCAGGACCACGAACAACCATTCACACCCCTGACCCGGGAATCAAACCAGCAAACTATTCATCATGACATGACCCTCTCCGTATTGTTCAAGTCGTAATAACTTTGTATTAAATACAACATATAAAATAAATATATATATATATATATAAATAGAATATAATAAAAATAAATAATAAATATATAATATATAAATATAAATATATATGTTTTATAAATATACTGTAAAATAACCAGATATAACCAGATATATGTGTATGATATAACCAGATATAACCAGACACACATATAACCAGATATATGTGTGTGTGTGTTTACAGGGCTGGGTGTTGGAGGGACTCCCACAGACTCGTGTGCAGGCTCTGGGTTTTCAGCAGGCCGGGGTCATCCCTGAACATGTTGGTGAGAACACGAGAAAGAGAAAGTACTCGGGTTATTAAACAGTACGGTGTACTTTTATAAAGTACCTGGATCATTGAGTAGAAATGTGAGTAAATAAACTCTGTGTTATTCAGTTTTCCTCGAAGCTCCTGATAACGTGTTGTTGGACAGAAGGAAAGGGAAACTGATCGACCCTCTGACAGGAGGTGAGTCCAGCTACTGCGGCCGGTATTATCGGACCGATATTAGCTTACTTATGTAATATCTGTAAGAATCGATATGGGATTTTCCTCCGATAATGAAAACCCGATAACGTAATGCCTGGGTTTTGCCAAATTATGTGTGACCTTAAAAATAGTTTGGGGGAAAAACGGCTGTATGTGAAAGTGAAAGCCACTAGATGGCAGCATTGAAGCTCTCATTTTAGCGTTTTTAATAAATAGGGGATTGTGTGCAGAATGCTAGTGTTAGCAACACAAACATTGTTGCTAACTATGGGGGGGCATGGAAGAAAATGATTGCGAAACACTGCTTTAACCCATAATCTTAGTGAGCAGGCGGCACTTAACATCCTCAACCACTAGACCTGCCCTGCTGCATCGGTATCGGTTGATATCGGAATCAGAGAATAAGCGTTTGCTCTGTCTGTACAGATGTGTACCATCAGACCTTCATCTGGCAGGTTGACAGCGTCGTCGCTCAGCGACTGGAGAAGGACCAATCCCCGTCGGAGAAGCAGCACGTGGCCGAACTCCAGCGTTTTCGCTGTGAGGTCACAGGTCTGAAGGCAGCCTATCAGCATGTCCTGAAGGTCGTCAACAGTGACCAACCGCATGATGACGTCTATCAACAAGGTGCAATAAAAATAAATACCAACGGTTCGATCTGACAACGGTCGTAAAAACTGAGCGAACACAAACCGTCCGGTTGTTGATCCTCCAATATGCAGATGATACGATAATCTATGTTTATGCTTCAAGTGTTTCGGCTGTTTGTAGATTTGTTTTCTGTTGACTGACGACCATTGGTTTTTAAACTCGTCTCGTTTCAGTGCTGGCCTTTGTTCGCACACGTAAGCAAACCAGAACTCCCCGAATACTGCTGCTGGGTCCACCTGGATCAGGGAAGAGTGACCAGGCCAGACGGCTTTCAGACAAATACAAGATGGTGGACGGTATAATTGACTTTTCAGTTTTTCATTCATTAACTCAGTCATTAAAACAGTTTCGGAGACTTTTTGTTTGATGTCTCAGTTTGTTGTGGTCGACTACTGAGATCTGTAGCAGCTCTTGGTTCGAGCCAAGGAGAACAGATCCAGTCGTACATGGAGGCTGGAAAACCAGGTAAACAGTTGTCATAGCACACTCCTTAATTCCACAAAATCTGTTTATCAATCGATCACTCGATCTATCTATCTATCTATCTATCTATCTATCTATCTATCTATCTATCAACCATCTATCCATCCATCTATCATCCATCCACCATCCATCTATCATCAATCCAATCCATATATCTATCTATCATCCATCCATCCATCGATCTATCCATCCATCCATCCATCGATCCATCCATCTATCTATCCATCCGTCCATCATCCATCCATCTATTTATCCATGCATCCATCTATCTATCCATCCATCCATCCTTCCATTCATCCATCTATTTATCCATGCATCTTGCTATTCACCCATCCATTCATCCCTCTATCCAGCCATCATCCAGCCATCCATCATCCATCCACCCATCATCCATCCATCCATCTATCCTTCCATCCATCCACCCATCATCCATCCATCTATTTTTCTGTTTTCTGCTCAGTCGTGTTGTTTTTACGTTGATTTTTGACAAAAGTTCTACTTTAGTTCCAGATGCCCTGGTGATGCAGATCCTTGAACAAAGGTTAAGCCAAGTGGACTGTACCTGCCGGGGCTGGATCCTACACGGGTTCCCCCAGGACCTACAGCAGGCCAGGATGCTGCAGGACTCACAACAGCCACCGAACAGGTGTTGAATTGACCACGGTCTAACGCTGATGTACATCCTGTGGTTGGTTGTTGTTGTCACCAGACTCAGACTCAATCTCCTCTTCCCAGAGTTTTCTTCCTGGATCTGACGGACGACGTCTGTGTGGAGAGGCTGAGTCTGAGAGCCACAGACCCCGTCAGTGGAGAGAGGTCAGTGTTAAAGGTGTGGATTAACATCTGTACGTGGTTTGGTCTGAATGTTGATGTGAAATCACTGATTCTCCACCGTCAGGTTTCATGTTCTGACCCGACCTGCTCCGAGCTCTGAGGTCCAGGACAGACTGAAGACCAGACCAGAGGACAATGTGGAGAAGGTCACACAGGCTGTACACAAGTACAGGAGGCACTCGGTCGCACTACAGGTGAGAGGAGATTAGAGATTAGATTAGATTACATGAGATTAGATTAGATTAGAGAGAATAAGGTTAAATCAGATTAGATTAGATTAGATTAGATTAGATTAGATTAGATTAGATTAGATTAGATTAGATTAGATCAGATCAGAGAGAATTAGGTTAAATCAGATTGGATTAGATTAGATTAGATAGAATTAGGGTAAATCAGATTAGATTAGATTGGTTTAGATTAGATTAGATGGAATTAGATTAAATCAGATTAGATTCATTTAGTTTAGTTTAGTTTAGTTTAGTTTAGTTTAGTTTAGTTTAGTTTAGTTTAGTTTAGTTTAGATCAGATTAGATTAGTTTAGATTGGATTAGTTTGATTTAAATTAGTTCAGATTAGATTAGTTTAGATTAAATTTGTATATTTTAGATTATCATAGTTTAGATTAAATTAGTTTAGATTAGATTAGTTTAGATTAGATTAGATTTGATTCGATTCGATTCGATTCGATTCGATTCATTTAGATTAGATTAGTTTAAATTAGAGTCGTTTAAATTAGATCAGATTAGATTAGTTTGGATTGGATTAGTTTAGGTTAGATTAGTTTTGATCACACTGTAAATTTCCCCATTGGTCGACAAATTCCTATTATTATTATTATTATTATTATAAAACAATGAAAACACTCTGCTTGTAGTATTTCATTAAGGCTTTGTCCTGATTCACATCTATGTGTGTATTCATGTGTGTGTGTGTAGTGTGTGTATCCAGATGCAGTTCACATTGAAGCAGACCAGGATCCACACTCAGTATTCGAGTCTTTGGAGAGCAGACTGAACACGGTTTGACAGGAACATCCAATCAACACCTGGAAAATTCCACTGAACTTTTAGTTGGATAGTCGGAAGACATTTGTTCTGGTGTTGGTTTAAGTTTCTTAGACTCAGATGACGATTTAACTTTTGTTAGTTTTTTTTTTTTTTACTTCCACTCTGTGTCACATTGAACGGTGAAGTGCTAATGCGTTGTTGATCATTTTGATAATGAAATGATGAAGTGCGTGAGTGACGGCAGCTGTCAGTAGTCGCTCACACTC